GGTAGATTAAAAGAAAAAAAAAAAAGGAATACCAGACAAGACGCATCGAAATCTTGGGAAAAAAAAAAAAAAGATTTGTTTCTCAGACCAAATGGCCTGCTTGGTGGATGCGACCAGAACTGGGTCTTGTCTGATGAAAGGAGCGAATGTGCATTATGATAACAATTTTAAGACATCTCTGTCAAAGTGTGCAGCAAGGCTATGGGCTACGCTCCACCACTCGCCAAACATAAGAAAGACAGGAGAACAGGTAAGTGAATCTGTCCACCACCTATGTGAAGATGCACCAGTCATTCAGCAGATATGGTGTGTAGTGCAGCGAGGCACTGTGTGTTCTGCACTTCAAAAGGAAGTCAATGCAATATGGTGCGACATTTGCTTTCAATAGCCATCCAAGGGTGGAGATGGAGGCCAGGTCTTCAAGAGGCTATAAGAAGACTGCATGGATAAGGAGGGTGGAAATGGAGGGAGGGTCTTCATGAGGCTTAAAGAAGAGTGCATGGACAGGGGTTGGGGGGATTAAAGAGGAGTGCATGGAGAGCAGTTTGGTGTGGATGGATGAAGCTTGGAGATCGTGCAGATGGAGGGATGTTGGTGAAACACCAAGAATGAGTTGGGAAGAGGATAGCAAGGAGGCAAGGGTGGAGATGCAGTGAACAGCAGCACATAGGAGATTCAAGGAGAGAGTTTGGGAACCGAGAGATAGAACATTCAGACAATGCACGAAAGAAATGTTTTTTGGAGCGAACGTAAGGCTAGGGACAAGGGAGAAAGGAGCTCAGAGGAAGCTGATGGTGGAGCTCTGAACTAGGCAAGGCAGGAGGTTTGGAAAAGGTGAGGGAGGCAGTTTTCAGAATGTTGATGAACTGGGGGGAAGGCCATCAGGTGGAGAAGCTGAGGACGTTCAGCAAAACATCGGACAGATTCACACGAGAGGCAAAACGATTCAATCAGCACCGATAGAGCAGGCTGGAGAGCAGGTGACTGGTCAAATGCGAGGGAGGGGACACTGTGTATTCGGAGAAGGTGAGGGAGGAGGTCTTGAGAGTATTGAAGACTTTGGCAGAACGCCAGGGAGGAGGCAGAGAAGCTGAGGATGTTCAGCCAAATATCAGAGGAAAGAGGAACATTCAGAATAGACTCAACAGAGGGGAAATATTTCACTCATACAATTACAGAGGAGGATAGGTTAAAGGGGTTGGCTTGTCCATGCAGGCGAGGGTGATCTGGTTGGATGTGCGGGAAGGGATGTGTGCATTCAAGTCCCAATGTATTATATGCATTAAAACGAACAAGTGGGCGCTCGCCACACCTACACCTATGGCGCACACTTGCCTCTACCTCCCTCGCGCACCAGCGCGCGAACGGGGACGGAGCGCAGAACAGCCGAGCGCACCATCGCGCACCAGCGTGCGAACGGGAACGGAGCGCAGAACAGCCGAGTGCACCATCGCACACAAGCGTGCGAACGGGAACGGAGTGCAGAACAGCCAAGTGCACCTTCACGCACCAGCGTGCGAACGACAACAGAGTACGGAACAGTCGTGCGCACCTGCGCGCACCAGCGCGCGAATGGGAACGGGAACAGAACCCGGGACAACGGTGCTCACCAGCACGCAGCACTGTGCGATTGAGATCAGGGTGCAGGCAGCCGTGCGAGCAATCGGGATCTGGCGCGTGCAGTTGGGATTTGAGCGTGCACTGCCGCTCCGACGACCGGGATAGAGAGGCGCACTTCCGTGCGGAGCCGTGAGCACGATCGGGGACTGTTGCGCGATCAGGCGCGCGCATAGTTGTGTGCTCTTTTGGAGACAGTTGCCCGCAGCCCAGTCAGGATTCGGGCGCACACACACACGTAGACACACATACCAGCAGGAAGGGACCACGTACATGTCACCTGTGAGAAGACGCCCACACATGCGTGCGCACAGACGAGCCGGGACCAAGGGTATCGGGCACAGGCGGACAAGACGGGACCAGACAGGACCTTTGAGGCCAAGATTGAAGGACACAAAAACTTCGGAACAAGCTGGGACTTCAGAACCGGGGCTTCCGGTGCGAACCGGGCACTTAGGACACATTCGGGCACCCGGTCGGATGAGCCTTTGGAACACGTTCGAAACGGGACTGCGGGACCACGCGACTCAGGCAGATCGGGACTACGAGACCCGGGCTGAACGGGACTACGGGGCCGGGCCGTTCGGGACAGCGGGGCCTCATCCAGGGGGACCGAGACTTAGGGGACGCAGGACGGGACACTTGAGATCAAGCTGGGGCACTTGAGATCAGGCCGGGACAACCGAGTTCGGGCTGAAGCATTTGGGATCAGACTAGGCGTTTGAGATCAGTCTGAGACGCTTGAGAGCGGTACGGGACATTTGAGTATATGCAAGGAACTTTGGACCAAACCAAAACTTTGGGACGGGACTGAATCTGGTGATGAGACCGGGACTTTGGGCCGGACCAGGACCGAGACTTTTGATGAGACCGAGACTTTGGACAAGGCTGGAACCTTGAGGAGGCAGGGGATTTGGATTGAGCCAGGACGCTTGACACCACGACGGTCATTGAGGGGAGACCGGTTCTTTCGGAACTCAGGCGGGGATTTGAGATCAGTTGTTGGCGAAAGGGGTTAGAACGTTGGGATTTTGCATTTTTTTAAGGGAGCTGGCGGCAAGGTTGACCAATGGAGAAAGTAGACCGTGAACTGTGGCCACGGTGGGCCCTTGATTCCACCTCTGACACTGAGAGTTCGAGCACTGTCCCATGGGATCAGCGGGCACGATATCGGCGACACCCTATCGGGCGGAGGATTCATCCTAGGTTGACGGTGAGATCGGTCGGACCTCAGACCGATTTCCCTGACTGGGGTGAAGGTTCTCTCTCTGGGGTTGGGAGCAATGCGATGAACCCTATCATTTTGGATTAAATGGAAATATACATTTTGTTCCTTCCAAACGCTGGTCTGTGAGTGTCTTGTTGTTGCGTCTTCAGTTAACTCTTGTGCTCATTGAGTGGTTTTTGGACTAACTATTCTTCTTGCAGGTTACAGGAGCCTCGATTGCCCCTCCCACGGGTGACAGGCGTGGGGTGACACAGGGTGCAATCCGCAGGCGGGCAGATTCCTACTTCCGGTCGACGGTGGCGCCGTTGCCGGGGAAGGCTGCCTCTCGGGACTTCGGTCCGCCACTAACCGCTGAGGCGAGGAGGATTTAGGAGCGGGAGTTTATTACTTTACACTCACGACAGACATTTCTTGGTGTGTACAGGTGCGGTGTGAGCGCGAGTGAGCGGACGACAGACAACCGACCTGTGATCGACGTTCCTGAGTGAGACTTGGATTTCTGCATTCTCGTGATTCCTTTGATTCTTGCATTCTCGTGATTTCATCCATTTTCTTCCTGCATTTTCCTTGTGATCGAGGGAGATTGTTCTGATCTT